TTATGATGTTTGACTGAAACAAATCCTTTTATATGAAAACAATGATGTAGAATTAAATAATAAAAATTAAATATTTTAAAAATATATCAAACAATCTTCAAAATTAGTGGTGACATGATTATATTATTTTATCAAATGAGTAACGAAAATAGGGAAAGAAACTAAATGAAGTTTGACAATGTAAATAATAAACATACAATTTAGTTTGGGATGGAAGGAGTAGCATTCATATAATTTTATATTTTAAATCTTCATCTTTAGTCAAATTTGCCATACGGAGGGATCAATATTTATTCTTAGAATTCACAATGGCATGTCAGCAAATGCCACTCAAATCATGGCATTCCATGATCATTCCATACCACTTTTCATTCCATGTGCAAGGCATGACTCTCTCATTTTTTTATTTTTTAATATCTTTAATGTTTTTAATTTTTGAAAAAAATATTTTTTAAAAGAAGTAGACATATTTTAATAATAAAATAAATGTGTAAAATAATTTTTGATAATTAAAAATCATTAAAAAGTAAAAAATAGACAAAAACAATGACTTGCCACTGTATGTTACGACACTCCACTCATTTGCCACACGGTGACTGGATTATTTTTTATTGGTTGAAATAGTCAATGTCACCCTGTGGTGTTTCATTTTGTCTTGTCATTGCTAATGCTCTTATGTAGTTATAGATACTAATGGATAAATTGTTACGGAGTATATCACATATACGGATATACCACAATACCTATAGTATATTAACTCCTCCGTCTAAATATTATCTTCGTGTTACGCGTTATAATGTTTGCTTAATTTTTTTTAATTATTATATACAAAAATGATATATAATTAAAAAATAAAATTTACTTATTAAAACTACATAAAAAAATTTAAAAATTAGAGGTGATATGATTACATTTTTTTAATCAAATGATCAATGCAAATAAGTCAACAAAATAAATAAAGTTTGACCATATAAAATCTAAAATGTTTGTCACATTACACAAAAACGAACCAAAATTTTTAAATTTTTTCAAATCATTTCATTTAAAGATTGATACCCGAAGTATAAACATTGTGATAAATATATTTTATTTTATCAAATAATTAATAGAAACATACAAAAAAAATTACATTTTTTTTAATACTCCATATTTGCGATTCTTTTTTTAGAGAGATAAAATTACAAAATGCCACAGATTTGTGATTTGAAATGGTAAGCGTGGAATAGGAATCCTTTGAACTTTGACTACTCCCCCTTAAGTCGCTGTACCCATTTGTGTCATTCCGTATTTTTGTTGCGAAAAACACGTGAGAGAGAGAGAGAGGGCAGTTCGCCAGAGCCGGCCGGCGGGAACCATGACAGCTTCTTCTCCGCCGTCTCCGCCGCCGCCACCTCCAGATCTGCAAGAGCTGCCAATAACTCTCCCCGCCGCCGGCCCTCCGAGTAGAAAGAACAACAAACTCACTCTGGTCCCACTCATCTTCCTCATCTACTTCGAGGTCGCCGGCGGTCCCTTCGGAGAGGAACCCGCGGTCCAAGCCGCCGGCCCTCTGTTCGCCATCCTCGGATTCCTCATCTTCCCGTTCATCTGGAGCATCCCGGAGGCCCTGATCACCGCCGAGCTCTCCACCGCGCTCCCCGGCAACGGCGGATTCGTGATCTGGGCCGACCAGGCCTTCGGCCCGTTCTTCGGATCTCTCATGGGATCTCTCAAATTCCTCAGCGGCGTCATCAACATCGCCTCCTTCCCCGCCCTAGGCATCGATTACCTGAAACGAATTTTCCCGGTGTTCTCCTCCGGATTGCCTCGATACGCCGCCGTGCTCGGATCCACCCTCCTCCTCTCCTTCCTCAACTACACCGGTTTATCCATCGTCGGCTGGACCGCCGTCTTCCTCGGCGTCATCTCCCTTTTCCCGTTCCTTCTGTTATCCCTCATCGCCATCCCCAAAATCCGCCCTCACCGTTGGGGCAGTTTGGGGCAAAAAGGTCTGAAGAAAGATTGGAACTTATTTTTCAACACCCTGTTCTGGAACCTCAATTTCTGGGACAACGTCAGCACAATGGCCGGCGAGGTGGAGAATCCCCGGAAGACGTTCCCCGTCGCCCTGTCCGCGTCCGTAGTTTTCACCTGTCTCGGCTACATCCTCCCGCTCCTCGCGGTCACGGGGTCGGTTTCGGTCGACCAGAGGGAGTGGGAGTCGGGGTTCATGGCCATGGCCGCGGACATGATTGCGGGGAAGTGGCTCAAGTTCTGGGTCGAGATCGGCGCGGTCCTGTCCGCGGTCGGGCTCTTCGAAGCCCAAATGAGCAGCTGCGCGTTCCAGCTCCTGGGCCAAGCGGAACGCGCATTCCTCCCGGAATGCTTCCGGAAACGCTCCGAGACATTCGACACGCCGTGGGTCGGGATCCTGCTGACAACAGCGATCGCGCTCGCGGCGTCCAACATGGACTTCACGGACATCATTTCGTGCGCGAACTTCCTCTACAGCCTCGGGATGCTGTTGGAGTTCGCGGCGTTTATATGGCTGAGGTGGGAGTCGCCGGAGATCGAGAGGCCGTACAAGGTGCCATTGGGGGTGCCTGGTTTGGTGATCATGTGTTTGGTCCCGTCGGTTTTCTTGGTGTACATTATGGTCATTGCCACAAAAATGGTGTTCCTGGTGAGCGGGCTGATGACGGCTGGAGGGGTAGGATGGTACTTTCTCATGAAACATTGCAAGGAGAAGAAATGGTTGAAGTTTAGCAATCCTTATGGTGAAAACACCATTTATGTACAATGATGGTAGGTTAACGTTTTCGATTAACGTTTTGAATAATTTTTTAATGGCTTGGATTAACTTTAAAAACGTTAAAGTTAAATTCTGCCGTTAAATAATCTTTTTAAAAGGATGGAAAATTAGATGCTTGAGTAGGTAATCTGTTTTTCTTGTCTTTATTTTAATTTACAAAAGTATAAATTTGTCTCTGTTGTCATTGAGATTCTTTGGAATCAGAATATTATGTGTGGCTATGAAATGTGATTCCTTCTTTTTTTAAAAGTTGGATGCTAAATTCAGATGTGGCCATGTCAGCTCTTCCGTTGTTAATTGTTATTTTCCCATCCCAAAAAAACGTTTGATGTTGCTGTCACAATTTTTTTTCAATATAATTATTTTGGGATGAATAAAAAACATTCCTTCTGTTTTCTACATATTTTCTCATTAGTCATTTTTATTTGTCTGATATAGATTTTTCATTATCTTTTTTCTATATTTAAAATATCACAATTACCCACACTCACTTTACTTATTTTACTTCATCCACCTCATTTATACATTCCACCTATTTTGATTAAGATAGAGCTTGGGGACTAGAAATCATTTGAAATCTCATAGTTTCAAATTCCAAATGTTGTTTAAGAAATCATAGAATTTTATTTTTGGAATTTGAATTTTGAAGTTGGCAAAGACGATAACGGAAGCCGGTTCATATGTAAGGAATTGGTGTTGTTTAAAGAGAGATCACCCTTTAATTACAAGTTACTCCGTATAAATTAAAAAGAAGTTGAACTTGAATTTGTAAATGACATGAGACGAGGTGTGTATTTGTAATTGGCCTAATTTTGAATTTGAATAATTTGGTCTATATCAAAATTTAAATTTTTTGAGTTTCCAAACAAGCAATTTGGATCAAATCTAGATTTTAAATCCAAATTCAAGTTTTCAAACACACCATAAGGGTATTTTGGTAAATTATCACCTTTTATCAACTCTCCTTGCAAACTACAAAAAAATCAAAACGAGATCTTAAGAGGACGGAAGGAGTAAAAAAAATTATGATATAGAAAAGTTACATTTTTTTGTTTCAAAAAAAGTTACTTCAGTTAAATTACTTCTGTTAAATTATTACAGGCCTATTTGAGAATCGCGTTTAGAGATTAGCGTTAGCGTTTTGAAAAGGTTATCTAGGGGCAACGTTCAACGTTAGCGTTTTTAAAGTAATCTGCACCGTTAAAATTTTATCCAAAGCTCTAATGCTAATCTCTAACGTTATTCCTAAACAGACTCCGCCCTACGTGTTGTTAAATCCTCCTTTTTTTTTTTGTTAAAACCATATCTTTTATACTCTGTATTAAATAATAGACACATTTTGTCCTTAAATAGTGGGATGTGTGTGTGTGTGTGTATATATATATATATGGTGTCATCACATTTACAAAATTCAAAGTAGTTAAAATATATACCCAATGTAAATTTTATTCCGTTAACTTTTTACCAACTACAACTTTTGTCACAGTTGAAGTTATTTATTTATTATTCACAAAGTCAAATTTTAACAATGTTCTATGCCCATTTCCATTGCTTGTTTGATAAAAGAATATAATCTTACATCTTATTTTGTAGAGCTTTTAATGTATTCTTAAATATATAAATTTTATTTTTAAATTTTATAAAATTAAAAAATTAAATTAAAAATAAGTTCAGTCAAACCTAGTAATGAAAATGCAATTTAAATTGAAATTGAGGGACTAAGGGAGTATGAAATTGATGAGTCAAACATTGTAACCGGTGAAGACATGGAGTAGTTAGTACGGCGTGCTATTCTTAAACAAAAAAAACCGAAAATAAAATATTCGCAAGTGGTTTCAATAAATTACATTATCACCTGACATTTAAGTCCATTGCCAACTTGTATGGTACTCGTATCTTTAAATCAAATACTCCATACGTCCACTTCGATTTTTTTATGGAATAAAATTTTAAAGATTCTAAAGTTAAATCTAAAATTATTTTTGCACTAATATACATTGTAATTTTTATTTATTTGAGGTTCAAAATACATCCAAAGTGACTTTAAAAAATTAAAGTGGACTATAAAAAATTAAAGTGGACTAAAAAAAATTAAAGTGGACCAATACACTAAGATGAATATAGTACTCTATATTTAAAACTATCTAAGGTCCCCTCAAACCCGACCCAAACAATATACCTAAGAGAAGAATGAAATTCTGATCTCAAGTGAACAATAGAGATTTTCTTGTCAAACATAGCAAAAATTCAAATAAAAAAATGTTAGATAACAATTTGGTGCGCTCCCCAATTTCAATCAAAATTTAACGACATCAATTGTTTCAGCCAAAATCCACTCCTACCGAACGAAACTCCAATAGATCGACGCTATAAACAAGCAAAGAAAGACACCCGTGAATTAAGTTTGCCAAACCGGTGACTTCTCATTTCTGTGAAACTATGTGATCAGCTCCAGTCAAATATGGAATAATCAGAGGGTTTCATCAACAGTACAGATAGAGCAACACTATAGACAGTTAAAAGGCCAAAAAAAGCTACTATGAATCCCTACATATACATATACTAAGTCATGAATTAAGGGATAAATCGTAACAGACAACACGGAACTCAGATGGTTAAAGAGAATGTTGATAAGCAGTAGTAACTTACCTCCTAACAGTTTCAATGGCTGCCGAAGGCACCTTTAAGGGATAGTCAGATATGTCTATATCAATAAGAGAGAGATCGTAAGGTACGGACCGCGAATCTGATGTGGACATGAGGAGCGAAGAGTTCATTCCCTCATTTGTTGTTGTTGTTGAGTAGTCCGGGTCGGGGTCAAGATTTTGGGATGAGATGCTGACAGAAGACGAGCGACTTGACAATTGAACATCTTCCAACTTGTTCCCAAATGAGTGCTTATTTCTTCTAACCGCATCCATCTCTTGGCCGGTTGGGACAAATGTCCTTGCCCTATACTTCTTTGTTGCTCCTTCACTGTCACCGTGGTTGTAGAGTACGTAGTCATGGTAAGTGGGTGCAAACTGCATCAAGAAATCATCGCGGTAGTCAATATTAGAAACACTTAAAGCCCCCATTTGATTGCAGGAAAATAAGATGTAGAAAATGTTTTAGATGGAAACGGTTTTCTTGGAACATACAGGTAAGACTTTTTATGTACATCCATCCCACTATGTGTCTCATACCATATTACGTAATGTTTGTGTGGTTCACATTTATTCCTACTTTTCCTTGCTTTTTAACACCAACATCAAATGCACAATTCCACTTTTCTTAATTTGGGTGCTGATACCCCCAAAAGAGAGTTAGGGAGTAATTTTCACAAAAGTTCAGCTGGAGAATATAATTTTCTGCAAACAAACGGAGACCTAAGAAAATGATTTCAGGTGACAAACACAGGCGTGCCATGAAAAAAAATCCTGGGAAATTAAAGAAACAGATCCTTAAGCTAGAACTCCTTCCAGAAAAATATTTTCCAGTGAAACTCGGAACAAACCAGACAGAAGTTCCCCAGAAAATGAACAAAGGTGGCATTTGTTGATAAGAAAGCAAAAGAGATGATATTATCGGCACCTGGTGAACTGTATCGTGGTAAAAGTCATTCAACATGAGAGCATGTGCAAGGCTAGCAGTAAAACCACGAGAAGGGCCAATATTTGCACCAGCATATTCCTTGTATGGGAAGGCATAGAAATGTCCAATAGCTGCAATTAGCATCTCAACACAAATTATGAAATTTTGGAATTCTGCAGCTTCTTCTGTGTCCTTTATAAGGTTGGACTTTGCAGCAAGAAAAACCAGAACACCCTGTTAAAAGTTGACGACTGTAAAAAAACAGGCCCAAACTGTAACTGGCATTGCCAGCTCAGTAAGACATCACTTCAACATAAAGAGTTCGAGACATATTGAGTAGTAGGATGGAAACTTCCTCACATAAATAATTACTATTCCATGTGTCCCAAAAAAAGAGACATGTTTCATCAAACACTGAGAATGCAACCCTTTAATTTGGTGAAAGCAAAACTCTTGTAAATTATCAAGTATCAACCCTACTTATAATTCCAAATCATTTGTTTGTTCAATTTGGTTCAATATTCTAAAACATGTTTGGAACTCTTGAAAAATAACATTAAAATTAGCTTTCGTGTACTGAACTAGAACTCTTTTTTGGACAAAATAAGTTTTCAAACAAGGCTCTTATTTTAGACAAAAGGAGTGGGTATGTAAACCAAATGATGCTAAATATTCCCTCCGTGGCTCCGTCCCAAAATTTTCTCAATTTCCTCCTTGGGGTTGTCCCAAAATTTTCTTCCACTTTCCTTTTAAGGAATTTATTGTGTCTGTGTGGCCCAAATTTTCTCTTTCCTCTACACGTATCATAATAACACACATTCCACTGTTAAAAATTGGGACAAGCCAAACTAGGAAGAAAATTACAGGATGGAGGGAGTATAATTTTTCAAATGCCGAACATAACCCAAAGAAATTTGAACATCATCATTACTGGAGTAAGGAAAGGTAAATTTATAAGATCAAAGATTTTTACATTGATTTCAAAAAATGCCTTCCTATCAGAACATAGAAATTTTTACCAACAAATGCGCAGAGGATGAAAACAAACAGCAACCAAGTAAGAGATCAAACAGTGAGGGCACCATGTGAAAAGCTAGGCACATTATAACAAATACATCTTATGCAGTATGGATATAAATCACAACTAAGAGATCAAACCTGCCAGTATGTAAGGAATACGACAGACTTGATAATGATGAATTTTGGAACAGGATTAAACGGCTGAAGTAAATCTCTGCATGCTACATAAAATAATAGCAAGGCATAAAGGGCAATTGAGTAGGAAATTGTATAGACGATTGTGAGGTAGAGGTAAGATTGCCTCGGATTGAAATTTCCATCCTCATATTTTCCTTCAGAGTAGAGAATGAATGTAACTGCAACTAGGATGGGCTTGAGTATTACAAACTGCAAACAGCCCTGCTTGCACTTTCGTATGAACCGCCTGCACATTTTCATAATGTCATAAATGTCAAACACTCGTGCACAAACAAGATTGGAAAAGGGCGGTGAAGAAATACACCGAATTCAGAAAGGGATAAAAACAAACTAAAGGAACAGAAGCTATCGATCCAAACTTGTTATTTTCTTAAAATATAGATTAATTAATGTGGATTAAAGCATCACACGTTATCTTTTCCTGGTGTTCATCTTAGGGGAATGGCGGTAAAGCTTGCCGACAAGTTCTTGTCCAGTTCTTTTTGGATCATCCCGGTGTTGTCCATCTTTTGTTTATGGAAAAGAAATAATGTCCACGTACAGTTGGCTCTTTTCCTCAAATTAACACCATTGGTAGAGGCCTTTCCCTAAACTAAGAGAATTTGTGTCCCTTTTTCCCTTTATTCCCAATTTCTTCATCCATGTGCCCAAAGAAGGGGACAAACACATCAGGGCGGAGGAAGTATATGTTTCGCATTATAAACAAATGTACTATATGTTATAAAAAACAAAGAAGTGCATCGTGGGTACAAGTAAAAAACAACGAAAACAACCCATAAAGGTAAGGTCCCACATGTCAGGTATGGGGAGGTTGGATGTAGAGACCTTACCCTACTGAAAAAGGGGAGAGAGACCGTTGTAGTCTGTTTGTATTTTTTGTTTTTGTTTTGTTTTTTTTTGCAGTTTGCACGCTGTTCTATGTTTTAAAAATCTAAATGGATCGTCTTGGGCAATGTCCACAACTTGGGTTCTCCCAAAAAATGTAAAATAAAGCTTTAGATTAAAAACATCTTTTTTCTATTTTTGACGCAACAAGTTAGAAATAAGAACAAGTTGTATTTGAATGAGTAAGAACTTATTGTATTTACTTTTAATTTTTAAACTGGTTTTAGGTAGTAAAAAAGCCATACCAAACAATCAAACATATATAGCTATATAAGATTTAGATGTATCCATAGTGTGATTAAGCACTCTTTGCCTAAAAATGTGATCTCATCTAAATTTTGTGAACTCTGGAATGGTCCGAGTCTTTTTTGTTTTATTTTAATCATTCTGATCTCACTTGTTTTTTTCTTTCTTACCTACTTTCTGTTGTATTGTCCTTTGGACCTAAGCTATATTGCTACACTTCTTTATTTGCTCGCCTTTATAGCTCAAACAGGTTTTTACCACACTGGTTACATTACCTTTTGCTTTTGGATGTCTTTTTTCTACTTCAAATATTTACAAATCTTCAATATTTATAACAAAAAAATCAACCATTCTCAAATTTTAACATCTTCCAAAACTTCCCCCACAAGAATTAGTCGGGAGTCATCATGGAAGCAACCTCTATGCTTATATTATATGGGTAGAGGTAAGGTCAACATATATCTCACCCTCCATAGTTCATTTTACCATTTTGGTCCATCCTCAAATGTTTGTCCTACCAGATCTTGCATATTTATGTAGTTCAATTTACCCATGCTTCACATTGCCACAAAGTTCCACTGTTCCTAAATACTTAATCAATACTTAACAATTTCCATTGTTCCTAAATATTGTGTCACCTCCTTTTGTCCCAAACTTAGCATGACAAAGGGAGTCTCTGGTTATGAGCATGTTCTCTTCAAGTTATTCTTATTTCTTACTACATATTACTTATTCTTATTGGAATCAGTTCTGATGAAGACAACATGATCTTAGTATGAATTTTTCTGGCATGGTTTGAAACTTCGTCATATCATCGAGTTCGACTAAAATATGAATAAGTAATAAGAAAAAAACAAATGAATAGAAGACTCACCCATCCAATGCAATTGGAGGAAAGCAACACGTCATTAGACACCAATTACGCTTAAGAGACCGTCCACTCAAATTTAGCACAACAGCCCCCGGGCCACCAACCCATTCCAAGCACAAGGATAGGAAATTATAAATGACCCAAGCTTCATATCTGAAATAAGATGAGATGATCAGACATGATTAAACAGGATATCATGAGATATAATCTGTGCTTCATAGTTCATAGAAACTAGAAGTTAAATGCGGGCAATCTGAAAAACTAAACAAAAAAACTAGTAAAGTTTATGATTGGATAGAACACCAAATAGACCAAAACTGCCTTCAAGTATTGCTTATGTTGAAGCCTCTATCGAGACCATTCACAATTGGGGAAACAATTTACAATCTTGCATAGCCAAAACACCTAAATCACTTCAAATGACAATACCTTTGGGTTTCAGCAAAATCACAGTGACTCAATGTTTATTCCTTCAATTTTTTTTATTACTACATGCTCTCTATTCCTAAATCTTAAACAAGTCATTCTCAGGTGTCATGTTTTAAATGGACATAGCAACATCAACTATCTCGACTCGTTGTTTCAAGATATCATCCACGAAAGGAGAATGAAATATGATGACGACGGTTCTAAATTTTCATCTCATTATTGCTTAGTAAAAAAATTGAGTGAAATGAAGAGCATCATTCAGTGTAAAACTTTGACACTATTTGCATGAATTTATGGGCTTGACTAATTATAAACAACTAAGAGCTTGTTGTTTTCAACTTATTCTTATTACTTATTCTTATTGGAATCAACTCAGATCAAATCAGACCAGATCAAAAGTAGCTTTAAATACAACTACATTCAGACCAGAACTTATTTCAATGAGATCTGAATTCAATCAGATCGGGTGAAGAGAACAAGCACTAATTAGCGTTATAAGCTTCATGCTTCATGCTTCATAATATAATAATGATGATGAGATGATGATAGTGATAACAACAACAATAATAATGGTGATTGTGTTTCATTATAATGTATCTGGTTTTAATCCTAATCTTTGAGTTTCAATAAAATGGATCAACACTGATTGATACCCTCCATATTAAATATTAATACAAAGTATCAAGCCGCTGGAGTCATGTAGTGGTACGACATCACTCTTGTTTGCAGGAGGTCACAACTATGACTTTAAGTCTTGGTAGAAACAATCTATGTGCCCCCCTAATCTATACACCCAACCCTTTAAAATATACTATGTATATGTTGATGTAGCACAGATCAGGAAGGAAAAATACTAACATATACAGATAAAACATGTGACATTACAAGTTATGAAAAACCTATTTTCATGCCCAATCATATTATCATCTAAAACTAAAATTACTATACAACACACTACTTAGAGTAACAGGAAACAAAGAAATCTAAACTTCGACAGTTCTTTTCTTTCTCAAGTAGGTGCACAACAACAACAACAGCCCAGTTAAATCCCACAAGAGAAGAGTAGGGTCTGGGGAGGGTGTGTGTACGCAGACCTTGCCCCTACTCGAAATCTAAGACACATAGTGGAAGAGTAACTACATATAACAACATTCTAAGTTCTGACCAAATAATTGGAATATATTGCACTTACATTTCTCGCAAGGAATTAAAATATATTGCACTTCTGTTCAATACAAGTGACAAAAAAGATGTAAGTGCATAAACCTGCAAAAGAGAAAAATGGTAGAATGGTAAAAACCATCCATCATAAAATTAAGAATTGTCACAAGAACGTTGCCTAAATGGTAATGTATAACACTGGTACAGATTAACCACATTCAAATGCTTACATATCCTACCTATGTCAGCATCAAATACATATATGCACACTCGCTCGTTTACAAAAACCCAATAACACCATCAAGTTGAAGTGAACTCTATGGATCCTGGTAAGTTGTATTGATTAGTTTAGCCAGCCCATCAACTCAAATAACTTAAGTGTTTGGGAATTAGTCAACCCTCAATACAACATTACATTTTAATAGGCTTCATAAATGTGAAAAGGAAGATAAGGTTGTAACAACTTGACACCCTAAAACCCGATCCTAAGCGTTTACTCTTGTAAAGAGTAAGAATGTTCTCGGAAGAAGACTGTGGTGGGAGGTAAGGTGTGAAATAAGTTAGAATCTTATGTTGAGAGCTGCTATCCAATCATTTCTCAAGTGCCTTGTAAATAGAACAGACTATTTATATGCTTGAATAATTAATATGTGCAAATAAATGGCTTACTACTCACAGGAACCATAAATATGATGCGCACAATGTATCTCTGATAGGTAGGTTCAGTGTAATTCAAAAGGTGCCGATATATGTGGAATATCGCCAACCAAATGGCAGTGATGGTGCACGGCAAAGCAATAAGTATGTAGAATATATGCCCCATTTCTTCTAGAAGAGAATCAGTCAACTACCATATCATACCTGTCTAGGAAAGATCCCAAGAACAAAATAAACAACATATTGACAAACCAAACGAGGGATGGAGTGAAATTGAGTTGAAAACCAACAGTCAACATTAAGCCCAAACCTTCACCAAGTGTCTAGACATTCTCTACATTGCCATTTCATTTAGCAGAAGGAGATCCAAAATCCATTTCTTGAAGGAAAAAAAACCCTAACTCAAAAAATGCCCACCCTAGTGATACATCAAAGAAAACCAAGACACATATCAGATTTTTGTCTGCAGTTGTTAGTTAAAATGTCATGATCAAAAGAAATCATGCTGGAAGAAAACTCCCACATGATCCACATAGTTCCAACATTAAGCACAAGTTTCACGAAAGCTCGGTAATCAATTGAAGGTTTTCTAGAAGAAATACCGATCATACATGAGTGATGAAGACACTTACTTGATCAAATGGGATCGAGAGAGAAGAAAGCAAGGGCGTGAGGGGTTTAAAAGGATCTGGGGTTCTGCTTCTCCCACTGCTTCTGAAGAGGGTGAAAATCTAGCGAACCTGAACCGTAGGAGGAAAGGAGGGAGAATAAAGGCAAAACCGCTGTAAGGCGCTTAAGGTTAGATAAATAATGGGTCGTCACCCGCATAGATTCGGTGGCTGTGGCGGTGGCGATTATACTGGCTCCATACAGTATTCGCTAAACCACCTAGAGGCCATCATTAGATCCAGTCATTCACCATGCTTTCCCATACAATTCTACTTTCTACTAATCTATTGGAAGTCCAACAATTAAATACTTACTTTCGAATAATTAAGTGATCATTTTTTATTAACAAAATAATTATTTTTCTAAAATTTAGTTATGTTTAAAAATTAGTGTTCAGGGAAAATGAGTATTCAGCTATTTGAAATTAAGTATTAATGCAGATGTGCAAAAAACATTGTACATTCGGAGATAAGAGAATTTACCTATACTATATTAAAACATAGTAATTTCCCAATGTAGTATCACCGTCACTGGATATTGTTCAAAGTAAATGTGTGAAAAAATAAGGAGTGCTACATGTGTAATATTGGATGTCTTAGAGTGCTACATAGAGTGATTTCTATATATCTTAGTACTCCTTCTGGTCCTATAAACTCTTCCCGTTTTGATTTTTTGTCAAACAATGACATTTTTTTGCCATAAATTAAACATAATCTAAATAAATAAATGTTATAAAAAAATTGATATATCGAAACTAAATCACAAGATGAACCCAATTATATTAAATTTATATTATAATTCAATATACTTTTATCATAATTCGTGGTCAAAGGGTGTCATTATTTGATGACCGGATGAAGTACCATACTCTGTATTATTTAGTGAAAATTTCACCCCCCCAATATGTGGTAAACGTACTCCATACCTTCCATATCTTTTTTTCCCTTTTATGTACGTCTATTTTCATTAAAATTATTTAAACTTAAAATATAAAATAAATATGTCATAAATATTAAATTTTAAATACAATGAAAAGAGTTCGCAAAAAATGTAGAAAATTACTCGGGGTACCCTTGGTTTTCTACTAAGAACTCTCGAGTCCCACATTATTTCAAATATATTTTCGGGTACCCATTGCAGGAAGTTGCGGTATATGCAGGAGACCTGTAAAAGAAACATAGCAAAACTACTATGGTAAGAACAGGGCTGGCCCTGGGGGTAAGTATATGGGGGCTGTGGCCTAGGGCTCATTTCACAAAGGGAGCCCATAACTATTTTTTCTCTAATAGTATTTAGTAACACATTATTGTAAAAAACAATCAATTTAGAATTTCAAACTGTCAATTTTAAGTAAATATATGTAGTACAATACTAACATGTCACACTCAATCATTTTAATTTATCAAGTGATATTGCTAATCTGAAAAAGTAATTCTAGAACATTTTTTTTAAATTGGCCTAAGGCCCATAAAATGTCAGGGCCAACCCTCGGTAAGAAGGAAGTTAATTTGGAAAGCTAATAATACTAAAGAAGGTAAGGGAGATGAATAAGGATGCAAATGAGCCAAAAAGGAGGATGTTTATGATATACCTAAATATGATGGGCAAGAGGAGGGTTTATTGAGGTTTCTGGTAAGAATGCTGGTAAGAAGAAGATTATTGAGGTTGATGAAGATGCTAGATTGGGTTCTTTTATGAAAGTTTTGGAGAATTCTTAATATGATGTGTATTATCCATTTCTCACATGATAGGGAGAGAATATTAAGGAGGCCTAAGAGTCCATTAAAGCATAATGAGGTCAGGAGAGTGGTTGATAAATATAATTTTGGCTGATTCGAATTACATGAGACTAAAATGATAGTGAATACGTTTGATGACATTAAGGAAAGCTCTTTAATGGTTGGGGTTCTTTTATAAATAAAGATGCTCACCCCTTGGGTGGGATCTGGATAGTGTGGAATAAAGGTAGGTTTGAATTTGAGGTATTAGATTGGAGTGATCAGCTCGTCACTGCAAAGATAAATGTATATGTGATAATAAATACTTTTAGCTTACTTTTGTATATGGGCATAATAATGCTCAGGATAGGAAGAGGCTTTGGGATAAACATAGAGAATAGCTAACAATATGAAGGATAGTTGGAGGATAATTAAAGATTTCAATCTTATTTTATCTCATCACAACAGAATTAGTGGAAATAAAGTCACTGATTATGAAATTAATGATTTTCAAGATCGTATAAGTAACTGTGACCTAGAAGAGATTCTTAGTGAGGACAGTTACTACACTTGGTGCAATAGGTAAGAGCGTTTGAGTAGAATCTATTCTAAATTGGATAGAGTCATGTCTAATATGGATTGGCTTATCCATTTTGGTGCTAAGATTTGGATTATTGAAAAAGGTATCCCTAATCACTTCTTGCTTCTTATTATAACACATGTTCAAGATAGGAGAAATGTAGGGTTCAAGTATTGTGACTTGTGAGAGCTTGATCTAGAGTTTAACACCATACTTAGGGCCTGGGGGTGTGTGGAGAGAGAATATTTCTAGAAGGTATATGTAGCAAGTAATACATAAAACTGAAAGTACTCAAAGTTCCTTTGAAGAAGCTTATAAAGAGTAAGTTCTACCATGTTCATCTTCAATTTGAGATATTAAGAAAGGATCTTGCTGATATTTAAAGAAGAAATAAACTAAATATTATCAATCAGTGCTTGATCAGTAGAGAGAAGGAATGCCGGAGAGAGCTTATCCTTAAAAGTAAAGCCACCTTATGAAATATCAACAAGTCAAGCAAGAATATATTGTAACTAAAGAAGATATGATTGAACAAGGAGATAAAATTGCGCATGTAATGGGTGACTACTCAAAGAGTTTACTTGGTATTAGCTCTTAGACTGACCCTACCCAGGAAGGTATTGTTAAGGCAGGTCCTTGTCTTAACCCTACCCAGCAACTATATTTTATTGCCTCTGTGCATGCTGAATATATTAAGATGGCTATTTTCTCTATTCCTAGTGTTAAAAGTCTTGGACCAGATGGATATAGTAGTGTTATTTTAAAAAGGAATTGGGAAATTGTTGGTGAAATTATAGTTAAGGTTGTGAGTGAGTTCTTCTAAAATGGTGAATTCCCTAGGCAGTTGAATGTTACCGATGTTGTGCTTATCCCTAAAAATTCACCTATGACATCTACTAATTTCAGGACAATATCATGATGTAATGTGATCTATAAAATTGTTTTTAAACTTTTGAGCTATAGAGTGAAGAAGGTTCTACCAGGTATCATTAATCTCAATCAAGGTGCATTTGTCAAATGAAGTGAGCTAATGCATATTATTCTCTTATGTCATGAGCTGGCAAGAGAGTATAATAGAAAAGCCATTTCTCCCATATAATGAAGCTTGATATCGGAAGGCCCATTAAAATTTATCAGCTAGAAAGCCATAAAAGGGATCATGAAGACTATGATGTTCCTTAGTAAGTAAATTGATTGGGTATATTTTTGTATGTTTAGTACATCTTTCTCACTTATGTTGAATGAAAATAATGTTGGATAATTTAATGGGGGTAGAGGTATAAAGCAGGGAGACCCTATGCCCCCCCTTATTTCCACCTTGGTTACAGAATATCTGACCAATACATTGAAGGTTTATGTTGATAGGAGCAGTTTTCAGTATCATCCTATGTGTAAGTCACTTCAGATTATTAATCTGACATTTGATGATGATTTCATTGTGGTCTGTAAAGTCGACAAGGACTTAGTTAAAATGGACAAGGGGGAGCTATCATTTAAATATCTAGGAAGGCCCATTATTGATAGTAAGATCAGTGCACGGGGATGTGAAGCTTTGGTGGGTAAGATTACTTCTAAAATTACTGCATGGGCAACTAAAAACTTTTCATGTTTAGGTAGATGTAAACTCATCAATATTATGCTATTTAGTGTTTTTTCCTTTTAGTGTAGATTATTTATTATCCCTAATAAGGTAATGGTGAGAATTCAAAGTGTTTGTAGGAACTTCTTATGGCCACTCCAAATTAACCATACAATTGGCATGATTGCCCGTCTCTCCCTCTCATTCTGATTCTCTATTTATTAATATCTTGGATCTCTTATCTCCTTCACCCATGGACACTAAACCTCTGTTCATGATGTCTGTCGTTGGATATGTACCAACTGTCAATATTGATTTTGGCTAGTCGCATGTTAATGCTTTTGCGTTGGCCGTCAGTCAACCCTGCCAATTTTTAACTCTCATACAATAACTTCTCAAGTAGTAGGAATTAATTTCATTTTAGTTTTTGTCAAATTTTATAGTACTTACATCCTTGATTATTTGTCTAATTTTATTTTTTACAGACAATTATTTTTAATCTTTGACTCATGATTAAAGGAAATTTATAAAATATAGGGAGAAGAACTAAATTACGAGTGAAACATGAGAAAATATCAAAATATGAGCTCGATATTTTTATTCTCAAAATACGTGTACAATGCCAATAATGTTAATATACAGTACCAAAAGATATTACGAGATGTCACTATCCAGTATCATAATGTCATCACACAAACTCATATTTTATGAATAAAAACATGAAATCCCAATTTTGAGGATAAATGCTAAGTTTTACTTCTATTTGAGATGATTTCTTTAAAATATACTGATTAAATAAAATAATATTTTGAAAATATTATATACAAAATCTAATAATAATATTTTTGTATCAATATTTAATATCAATTTAATTTAATTAATGGCCAAAATTTATCAATTTTAATTGTAAAAAAAGAGTACTAGACAAATATTCAAGAAGAGAGGTACTGAAATATATGTGGGTACATGGCACCCTCTAAACTCCGAACTTGAGATTTAGGATCCGTTTTGTTCAACTTATTCTTCTAGCTTATTATTCATTCTTATTAAAATCAGATCAGATCAAAAATAATTTAAATATAATTAAATTAAATTAGATCAGATCAAATAAACGAAACACATGTTAGAAAAAAATCTCTATGTGACACCCAAGTGAGAGTGAGGTTCCCAACCTATTTTTCTTTTAGGTATGCCATTCTACCAAAGTATCCAAAATTGGGTGGAACTCCGTATATGACCATACAATCCAAGAGGATAAATGCACGCGCTCATCACTCTCCCCGCTTAAACCCCT